CAAACAAACAACAACAACAACAACTTTTATTCTGGTAAATAAAAAAAAAATTTTAACGGGTTCCTGCCATTTTCTTAATTTTTTAATTTACAAAAAATAATATTTTTTTTTCATTTTTTTTTTCATTTTCAAACAAACCTTTCAAAGGAACAATTTAAAAGGAAATAGAAAAAGGAAAAAAAATGAAAAAAGAAAGTAAAGAAAAAATTGTTTGCAAAACACTTACATTATAAAATATAATAAATTTTCAATGGGTTGTGAAATGAAATAAAAAAAAAAAAAAAAAATTTTTTTTTTTTACGATCCATAATCATTTGAATTACACGTTTTTTTTAAAGGAATTTTCCATTTTCTTTTCTCCATTTTCTTTTTTCCTTTTTTTTTTCTTACCTTTTATAAATTGAATGATTGACGACTTTACCGACGACGAAAACGACGACGACGACGACAACGACTGAGACAAACGACAAACTACTACGTCACACAGAGTATTGAGAGTATTTTTTTTTTCCTCTTTTAATTTTCTTTTTGATAAATTATTATTATTATTATCATCATTATTATTATTACTTTACTTAATAATAACGAACAAGGACCATTTTTTTATTTCCTTATATTACGGCAAATAATTATAAATAATAATAATAATAATAATTTATATTTAATGTGAAAAACATTTGTCTCCGATTTTAATTTTTTATATTTTTTTTTCATTTTATATTTTCTATTACCACGACGAATGTTTTTATTTATATCATTAGATTCCAGACGAAAATGTCATTTAATAAAAAAAAAAAAAAAAACGTTATAAAAATTTTTAATGCCGGTAATAAAATCATTCGGAAAAACATTAAAATTAAAATCCATACACGTTTATAACAAAAAAAAATTTTTTTTTTTATCGGTCGAATGCAGTTTGTTTTTGTTTGTCGTTGTTGTCGTGGTCTTGGTTATGGTTTTTTTTTGTAAATATTATTGATAATTAAAAATTAAATTCACGATTTTCTATTCTTGCACCGTCTGCAATTCTAAAGTCACGACGACGATCTTATTCGATGCAAAAATAATAAAATTAAATTTTTTTTTTTTTTTAACAATAAAACGATTTATTAAAATTTTTTATAATTCTTACTTTGTACAGTTTGTTTGAACAAACACAAACGAACAAACGCATACACAAACACTCACGCTCACACACACACACTCGCGCACGAATTTTATTTTATTTTTTATGTTTTCGTTCGTTATGTTTAATTACAAAAATTAAAGTTTTTATTATTTTTCGTTTTTTTTTTTTTTTTTTAACCACGTTTCGCACCGAAAAAAAAAACAAAACATTTTTGTTATTATTATTATTATTTTTTATATAAATTGACCCAAATAACCGGGGGTAGGGGAAGGAGGGGGAGGGGTAAAAAAGAAAAGGTTACGGAAATTTAATCGAAATAAAAAAAAAAATTTCATTTATTACTACGACGTCGATGATGTTTTTATCCAATTTGATGTTAAAATACAAACGACGATGAGTAGTATTGAATTGCAATGCAACCACGACAATCCTCTTCCACGTCCGTGTTGCATCGCTGCTGGATTTTCTCCTGCGAACATACAAACAAAAAAAAACAAACAAACAAGTTTTATTTTATTATTTTCCCCTGCTTTTTAATAAAATTACCATTAAAATTATGCCTCTTTAAAACATTTTTCTTTTATCAATGAGAATAATGATGATGCTAATAATAATAATAATAATAATAATAATAATAATAATAATAATAATAATATATTTTCACATGTTTTTTTAGATCTTTGATACTTTTTCTGTGTATATAAAAAAACAAAAATGGCGTCGAGTGTAATTTAAAATGACGTTACCTGATTCTCCTTTTTACTTTAACTACTTTTATTTCCTTCTGCTTTCATTTTTTAAAAAAAAAAAAAAGCAGAAGGAATTTAAAATAAAAATTGTTAATTTAATACCAAATAATTACAACAAAAACAACAACAAAATAAATAAATAAATACCCTTCCTCGACGTTTTTTTTTTAAGCAAATAATAAATAATATTATAAATTTAAACGGGAGGGTTAAAAGTTCACGTTTATGACTACGAACTCGGTTTCGGAAAATTTTTCTTTTTATAAAATGAATGAATTATAATATGATTTTACATAGGCGAAACATTCATTTTAAAAAATTCAAAAATTATAAAAAAAAATATATGTAATATTATTTTTACCGTTTTCGGTTCATTTAAAAAAAAAAAAACGAAAAAAATCGTAATAATAATAATAATAACGAGGAGAAGAAGATGAGAACGAAAATAGTAATAATAATAATAACGTGACGTAATGGAAACTAATTAAAATTAGCGGGCATCATGACAAGAAAAAAAAATAAAAATTACAATTTGGTTTTTTTTTTCTTCTTCCCATCCCCACCCCCCACTCCCAATTCTCCCTTTTAAAAACATAATGAAAACCTAATTAAATTTGTTAATTTCCGAGAGTTTTGAATAAAATTTAATCATGATATTTCAATCAATTGGAAACCATTGGAGTGATTTCCCGTATGTTATAATTAACTATTATTATCATCATCATCATCATCATCATCATCATTACGATCAGTATTATTATTATTATTATTATTAATTTTATTACGATTACCGAGTAGACAAATTAAATTACACACACGCGTACACACACATATACATATATTTTTTTTATTTTTTTTGTGACGATTTAATAAAGTACGACTACTTTTGATGTAATAAAAAGTTAATAATTTATTTAATTAATTAATTAATAATTAAACTCATTAAAAAACGCATAATTAATTTATTACGGTAATATTTTTCTGATAAAAAAATTAATAAAAGAAAAGAAAAAGAATTTTAATATTTTTTTTAAAAAAAATAAATTATTGTAAATTATTATTATCGTTGAGTAAAAAAAAAATGGGTGATGGAGGGGGAAAGAAAGGGGAAGAAGAGGAGGAGGGAGAGAGAGTGGGGATGAGAAAAGAAATTCGCGGTTAAAAAAACAATCGGGGTAACAAAAGGACAAATAATAATTTGCTTCGGGTCACATAATTTTCATACGGTCGAAACGGGTTTCAACTTAAATAAGCGCTAATGTTTGTTTCATAAATGCGGTTTTTATGTCCAGGTGTTTTAAGGTAAAAAAAAAAAAAAAAATTTCACTTCTTGGATTTCAATTTTAGAGCAGGTAACCCGTTTTCTCCAGAGGGTAAAAAACTAAAAAATATGTTTTTGTTTTCGAAAATTCTAGATTTTACATGGTGCACTCAAAAACAAAAAAAAAAAAAAAAAGTTTCCTGCTCTCTCTCACTCTCTTTCTTTCTATTATTATTATTATTATTATTATTTTCGACAAAACGCTAATGGAATATTTTATGAAAAACGGTCTCATTGGTCAACCTCAAAAACTATTTTTCTATCTCTCTCCCCTTCCCCCTTCCGCCTTTTCCCTCCCTTCCCTTTCCTCTTCGCTCCCTCCCTCCTCTAAAAAAAAAGAAAAAAAAAATTTAAATGTAAAATTTTTGTTTTATTAAATATTTTACCGTTAAAACCACAAAATAAGAGTAGTACACGGTTTTTCTATTTACACGATAAAATTATTTTTAGTTTTTCCCGCCGTGTAAAAAAAAAAAAAAAAAATAGAAAATAGAGAGAGAAGGAAAAACAACGTTTATTTATACGAAAACATTTTCACACACGTTTCGTGACGAAGTTTACAAAAAAAAAAAAAATCTGTCGCCGAATCGGGGGAGGGAGGAGGAAGGGAAAAGAGAAAAAGGGGGAGGAGTCGTAAAATGTCGTGGAAATTAAAAAAAATTTTTTTTTTTGTATAAAAATACGTAAGAATACTCACCATTTAATATGTGTACGAATGTGCTGGCAGGTTGAGCTTTGTTCGGAACGCAAGAATAATTTCCGGTATGCTCGGGACTCGCACTCGCTATGTACAAAACGCTTGTTTTCCCTAAAAGATCCGTCGTGACGTTAACGCCCCTGTCGTTATCATAGTTTATCATTCTATTATTATGATACCAAAATACGTAAATCGGAGGCTCCGTGCTTTGAACCAACGTGCACGTTAATTTCAAAGAACTTCCGAGTTTTAAAAATTTTTCCGATGGACCGGATATATCGGCACGTGCTTCTGCAAAAACAAAATCCCCGTCGTTATCATAATCATTATTATTATTTATCACAAACATAAACAAAAATAAATTTTCTTTTCGGTAATTTTAAAATGAGAGAGAATAAGAGTCGATCAATAATCGATACTAATTAATTAAATATATATTAATCGATATATCGATACTCGTGATGACGTCAGTTAAAAAAATTTAAGATTTGATTTTTTTATAATCTTGTCGAGTGTGTTTGTGTTTGTGTATCATTTTAAGTAGTTTTTGTGTCGTCCCAAAACTTGTACCTTATAATTAAAATTAATCGTGTTTATAATCGGAAAAATGGCAAAAATCCAAAAAAAAAAAAAAAAGAAAATTTTCCGAAAAACATTTTTTTTTTTTTTTGTAGTAAAGACGGAAAACAATTTTTTTTAATTACGAAAAAAAAAGAAAAGTTAAAAGAAAAGAAAAAAAGGAAAAAATTATTATTGAAATTGATTCGTAACTTTTTTCCTTGTTTTCCCAAATAAAATAAATTATTTTCCGAACACACACGGTCGGTCACATATACGTGGTTGTTGTTGTTGTTGCGGCAAATGTTATTTGTCAAATAAAAATAACTTTACAATTTTTTTTTTTTTTAACTCCAGAAAGAAAGTTGACAAATTGACTACTCCAGGGATTAAAAAAAAAGTTTTTTTTTTTTTTTTTTCCTGGAGTTGAGCCAGTCGTTCAATACAAGTTTTTACTTTTTCCGTCACGACAAATAAAAAGTAAAAATGTGATATCATATTTTCGGATAAAGGTTATTTTATTTTTTATTTTTTAAATAACAGACGACAATAGTCAATATTTTAAACGCTTTCCGCGAAAGCGTTAAATTAATAAAAAAAATTATACATCACTTCCGTCGGTCTACCGTATAAACCGTAAAAATTTATTTATTTATTTATTTCATTTCCAATTTTAAAACCTCATCGTTATCATCATCATCATCATCATTAACATCATCCGTAAACAATTTAAAAACCCTAATACTTCAAGTATACGTATTTAAAATTTAACATTTTAAAAAACCGGAAATGTAATTATTATTTTTCCAAATCGGAAACCGTAATTTAACGAAACGTCACGTGATAAATATAAACAAATGATTTTTTCGCACCTTCGCGTTCTCTAATATTAAAGTTTTATTATTCGAAAATAATAATAATAATAAGAAACGTTTTTTTTTTTAAATTGGATTTTAAATGATGGTGCTTTAGATAAGCTACTTTTGTAAATTTTTGCGGTCGTTATAATGTGGATTAAGACTTTTGAGCGTAGCAAACAGAACAAAAAAAAATAAAATAAACTTTAAATTTACGCAAAAAAAAAAGAAAAAAAGTTTTCCCGTTGCAATTTAACATAAAAAGAAAAACTTTAAAAAAATTATTAAATGCAATTTTTTTTTTTTTTTTTTTTTTTAGTTTTATATTTTAAGAGTCTTAATAAATTAGGCAAAAAAAAAATGGCGGCGTTTAAAATCCTTTTTAAAATTTCAAAAACGAAAAACAACCGTAATAATAATTTTTTTTAAATTTATTTTATTTTATTTTTTTTTTTTAAGTTCTAATTACCGTAATATAACAAACTCACGTATCGTACCCCTCCCTACCCCCTCACCTCCACCTCGCATCACATATGTAACTTATTTTTTTTCTGCCCGTGCGTCCATGTTTTCCTCTTTAAAAAAAAAAAAAATTGTGGCACGAAGTAGAAAAAGAAAAAAGAGAAAAAAATTTTTAATAATAAATTAATCTCCGTGGAATAATTTAAAAAATTATTAATTCTTTTACTTATTTTGTCACAAAAGTTGTTGCTGTTGCTGTTGTTGTTGTTGCGTAATTCCCAAAACACCGTTTGCCGCTACCTTACGTTTTAAATTTTTAACGGAAAAAGAAAACAAATCGTTTGCTTTTATTTCTTTAAAAAAAATTCTTATAAATAGTTAAATAAATTAATTACCGTGAAAAACCGAATAATAATAATAATAATTTTTAAATAGATTCAAATTATAAAAAAAGAAAAATCTAAAAAGAAAAAGAAAGAAAAAGAAAAAAGAAAGAAAATTTTTTTGGCCGATATATATATTGTCGTGGCCCGATTCGATTATCGATTCACAACGTTGATCTTCCTCCGCGTTCGTGGTATTATTCAAGATTGAAATCGAACACACTTTTAACGAAAGAAGAATTATATTGATTGTAAGCAACAGAAGAACATTTTACAACATGTTACATGTACAGAACAAATTAGTCACTAAAATAATGTTATGAACACTACTAGTTGTAAACACTATCACAAAACTAGACCTAGACACAAGTTGAACTCTAAGATATCAGGAGAAACCGATGAACTAAGAGTCGAACACCAAAAACGAAGAGTTGTGCAACAAGAACCAAGTGCTGAGAAACAAGAACCGATGGCTGAGACGTTCAGCCTCCTTTTATAAGTTCTGACTATCGCTAGTCGTTGTTCATTCACTAGCAATTAAGATAAGATTAGAAAAGCGAAGCTTCTAGAAATGCTGACTATGTGTCTGCGATATGAATAGAGTCACTATCTCCAGACATGCTGACTTTGCGTCTAACATGTGAATGGAATCACTATCTCCAGACATGCTGACTTTGCGTCTAACATGTGAATGGAATCACTATCTCCAGACATGCTGACTTTGCGTCTACCATGTAAATGGAGTCACTATTCTCACTCATTTATCGAAAAATACATCACACTTGATATGGGTTCATAACAATATATATATATATATACGGAGCGCAATGAAAATGAAAATTGGAATTTGGCCCGTATACGGTTTACGCGTTGCCAACAAAAAAAAAAAAAGAAAATTTTCTTTTTTTTTTCTTTTTTCTTCTTTTGTATAAGGTTACAACAGAAATGCTTCTTCTTAGTTCTCTAACTTTAGCTAGCCTTAAGGAAACTTCTTCAAACAAAAGTCGTAAGATTTCATATTCGTTTACACCCCCCTCTCCCTCCTCTTTCTTTCCACCCCTCCCCGCCGTTTTTTCTTTTACCTCTAAACGAAATGAAAAAAATAAATAAATAAAATAATGAATTAATATTTTTTTTTAAAAAATAAAATCGCTGAAAACGATCGAATAAATAAAATAAAATTTTTTATATACGCGTGAGCCATTTTTTAAAAATGGCGGACAAAAAAAAAACGACAATGCTTTCCTCGTGATTCAATTTACTAGAAAAAAAAAGAGTTTGACAAACGTAAAAGGATTCAATAGACAAACTATTCTTTTAAGTAGATTTACAAAAAAAAAAAAAAAAACATAATAAGTAAGTAAAAAAAAAAAAAATAAGAAGGATTTAATAGAACCCATTTTGATTTTCAATTGATAAAAAAAAAAATGTTTTTACCGTTGAAATGCGAAAAAAAGGAAATTTTCTGAAAATGACGTTTTATCGAATCTCATAAAAAACAAACAAACGAACGAACAAACGAACGAACAAACGAACGAACGAACGCATTTGTTTAACTTGAAAATTTAATTTCGTGTAAAAAGAAAAAAACGTGGATGAAAATTATTTTACACGTATTAAATTAAATTTTTAATTTTTTTAAATAATGATGATAATGACCACGTGATACTCCAGGAAATTTCCAAAAAATATATGATCATTAACAACGATTTGCGACGGATTTTTTATATAAAGGAAATGATTCCCGTACCGGAAGTAAAAAAAAAAATTTTAACTCTCCAGTTTTTCAATTTTTTTTTTTTAACTTCTTTTTCTTCCTATCACCACCACCACTACTTCTTCCTCCTTCTGGAAAAGATTTTAAACTTAAAATAAACATTTTCTATCGCACGCACACAACACTCAAAACATAATTTATCCAGCGAAACATAAACATGTTTTGGTTTTGGAGAAAAAAAATAAAAATAAAAACCCTTCATTTTCTTTTTTTTTCTGTTTTTTCTTTTCATTCCTTCTCTTTTAATTTTCTTTTTTATTTGGGTTACTTCCGTTCGTTCACGTTTAATTTTCTCATATCACTTCTCCCATCATCATCATTATCATTATCATTATTATCATCATCATCATTATTTTTACGTTATATTTTCCTTCGGTTTAAATTGATTGCATCCGATGTTATTTTAACCGTGACGTGAGCGTCCGACTTTCCGATGATGATGATGATGATAATAATAATTTCATTAAAAACTTTTGAATTCGGTGTAAAGTTTCCTATGTTCCTGGGTCAAAGGTCGCTTATTAAATAAAAAAAAAAAATTTTTTCTTTTTTCCTTTTTCCTTTTCTCTTTTTTTGGAAAATAAAAAGACATTGAAAACATTAATTAATTTGAAACAATATTTCGCAAAAAAAAAAAAAAAAAATTTTTTTTTTATCTCTCTCTTTTTTTCTCTTTCACTCTCTTCCCCCCTCAAATTCTCTCTCTTTTCTTTTTCTCATTCTTTACTTTAACGTTTTTTTAAAAATAAAGTTTACATAACTCAAAATTAAATCTCCGAACGTCGACCTGAAGTTTAAAAAAAAAAAAAAAATTTTTTTTTTTTTTATTTAACCTTTTACGGTAATTAATAATTTTTTTTTATTTAAAAAAAGTTTAAAAGTTAATTAAAAAAAAAAACTTATTAAATTTTTTTTTAAATAAACATTTATTTAAATAATAACGCTTAATAATAAATTATTAATTCAATATGATAATAATAATGATAATAATAATCATTATTTATTTAATTTATTTTAGAAAAAATATTTAGGAAAAAGATTTGGATTTTCTTTCAAGGTCAAGTTGTCGATGACATACAAAAATGATAAAGAACTCACGATGGATTTTAAATAATAAAGCAGAAGAAATTTAAAAAAATCGCGCCGAGAGAATAATAATAATAATAATAATAATAATAATAATAATAATAATAATCCGGAGTTAAATAAAATTAGTAGAATTAATGGTAATCAAAAAAAAAAAAAATTTTTTTGATATTGAGATTAAATAAAGTAAAAGGGAAAAAGTATATGAAACCCTATTTTAAACGAATAAAATAAAAACATTTTCGAAACTTTGGTGGGGAGAGGAGAGGAAAGGGGGGGGAGAAGAGAGTAAGGGACGAAGGCGTCCATTTGACGTAGATTAATGAGACTAAACTTGCACTTGCCAGATGTAGAAATAAAAAAAAAAAAAAAAAACTTTACACGGAAACGATACCCGGTGGAATTCTAAAGATTCGTTGAAAAGGTCTTCCTCTCTCTCTCTCTCTCTCTCTCTCTCTCTCTCTCTCTATTTCAACATTCGGTTTTAAATAAAACGTTAAAGACAAGGAGGAAACGGGAAGTAGAAAAACAAAATACAAGAGAAGGGATAAAATGTTGACTGGAATATCAATGAATATTTTAATGAGATACGATGACATTTATTTATTTAATTTTAAGAGAAAACATTCTTTAAATAATATTTATAAATAATAACAAAAAAAAAAAAGTGTTCGTAGTAAAAATTTTAAAGTGGCAGAAGACAAGAAAAAACAAAAATAAAGGAAGGAAGAGGGAAAAAAGAAAAAAAAAATCAATTTATTAATTAATTTACTTACTCAATTAAGATTTTTTTAAATTTTGATTTTTATAAAAAAACGAAATGAAAAAAAAAACGATTTACTCATAAGTTAAGAATAAGATGACAGGAAAAATTAAGAAAAATTTTTTAATAATGCGTTTAAATTAGTTAATGACGTCGAATTAAACAACAACAACAACGACAACAACGACGACGACAGCGTCTTAATAATAATAACAAAAAGGTATAAAAAATTTTTCTCTCTCTCTCTCTCTCTCTCCCTCTCTCTTGTCAACAATCATTAATTGACGTCATCGTTTTAAAATAAAATTTTCCTTGTAATTTTTTAATCGATAATTATTTTTTAAGATGGTAACAATTAATAAGCATTTTCCAGTTCTTTTTTTTCTCCCGTTTTCCATAGTAAAACGACGCGTTCTCATATTTAAGCCTTTTTTATTTAATTCACATACGGAAGAGAGAGAGAGAGAGAGAGAGAGAGAGAGGGAAAAAAAAACATTTTTTTCCCATGGAATTTTTTTTTAAGGGCGATCTTTTTGTCAGTTTTATTTATAAACGCAAAGTTGAAAAAAAAAAAATGGCAGAAACCTTTCCCCATTTTATTTTATTATTATATTTTTTTTTCTCTTTTTCTAACCGCTGGAAATAAAAAAAAAAAAAAAGAAAAAAGTTAGAAGGAAAATTAATGTGGATATATAAAAAAAAAAAAAAAAAACTCTAAAGAAAGTTAAAAAGCAAACAAAATAAATGGTTAAATTTTTTTTTTTTTGTTTCTCCACAGTTATGAGAAATACGTAATAAAAATATATATATAAATATGAACACTCGAAATTTTATATTGTTTTTAGTATATATATATAATATTTATAATATCGGAAAGTAAATTAGAGTCGAAAAGAAACGCGCGTTGCCCCCCTACGCCCCTACTCCTTTTTCCTCCGCAATAAAATCTCTTTAAGTCGTTATAACTATATAAACGGAACGGATTTTATTTTTTTTCTAAAAACTTTTCCGAAAAAGACGCAGAGTTTTATTAAAACGCCGATAGGTGCGCCATCGTCGATTTTTGGAGAAAAATAAAAAATTTAAATGCTCTTACATATATATGTATTTTTTTTTACGCGCGCGTCAAACGCATTTAAAAACGTCAGTTAATATAATAATAATAATAATAATAATAATAATAATAATAATAATTTTTTTATTTTATCATATCAATAATATCAACTGTCATTATAGTATTGTTATTATTATAACCGAATTTTCGTTTTATTTAAAAAAAAATTTTCCCCCTTTTTTTCGCGCCTTTTTTTTTCTCTCTCTCTCTCTCCCTCATCTCTTTTTCAAACTAAAAATAACGGAATAAAATTTTTTTTATGTTTACAAATAAAAAAAAAAACAAACGTAAGAAAAATTTCAAAAAAAAAAATAAAAATAAAAGAAAAAATTTTGGAGCGTGAAAAAATAAAAAAAATAAAAATAAAATAAAGAATCCATGGAAATACTTTTTATCGACAATGACAGATGAAACTGAATGAAAAAAAAAAAAAAAAAAAAAAATTTTTTTTTTTTTTTTCATTTGAGTTTCTTCAAAAGTTATTAGATTTTTCTTTTATTCCTCCCACTCTCCTTCTTCCCTTACCCTCCTCCTATTTTCTTTTTCCTGTCGGAAAGTTTGGAGCGAAAAATAAAAATGAAATTTTTTCCACTTTTTTTTTTTTTTTTTGCTGTTTTTGGTTTATCTCTCGTGTTATTTTCAATAAATGTTTTCTTTCCTTTTTTTTTTTTTTCATTAGTTTTATTTTATTGTTTTATATTATATATATGTAATTACTGTCCGTATCAGAATTTGAAAAAAAAGGAACTTTTTCTACTGCCACTTTTTTTTTCCTTTGAATTTTCATCGCTTCTTTCGTTTATAAAAATTAAAATTTTTTTTTTAAAGACACAAAAGATTATTTTTCTTGATGATGAGACGGACAAAAAAATTTTCTTTTTATTTTACCGTTGAGATATTATTATTATTCCTATTATTATTATCATTATTATTATTATCGTTGTAACAATTGTAATAACCTCCCAATTAATTTACGAAAATTGTAAAAACCTTAACGATAATAAGTTTAAAATTTACAACGACACTAAAAGAATATTTTTACATAAGTTAAACAATACGATTAAACAAAAAAAAAAGAAAGAAAAGAATATTCTAGAATTTTTTTCGCGGCTTTAAAAAAATAAAAGAAATATTATTATTATTATTATTATTATTATTATTATTATTATTATTATTATTATTATTTTCGTATACATAAAAATGTAATATAAAAAAAAACAATTATTTAATAAAATAACAATCACGACCGTAACGAAAATTCATCCGTTTCCGTTTTTTATTATTATTATTATTTAAAAAAAAAAAAATTATGACGAATAAAAAAAAATAATTTTAAAGTTTAATTTTTTATTTTTGTCGTTTGTTCGTTCGTTTGTTTGTTGGTTGTATTTATAAAAATCCGTTAAAACAAAAAAAGTGAGGGAAAATGCATAGAGAACGACGAATTTTTTTTTTTTTGAACGTTTAACACCTGGCTAAAATCAACCGACGCCATTTTTTTTTTTTTTTTACATTTTTTTAATCCTTTTTAATCTACTTAATACTTTAAAAAAAAAAAAAAATGAAACCGGAACGTAGACGATAGAAAACAAACAAACAAACAAACGAAAAAAAAAATCTAAAACGATTGCATTCGTTTAATCAACCAACGCAGGAAAAAAAACCGTTGGAAAATATTACGTCATAAAAAAAAAAAAATTCCCGATGGAAAATTCTTATAAGAAAACTATTGCTGTCTCTCTCTCTCTCTATGTGAACTTTTATACATCTTGACAGGTTTTGATTGATTCGTTTTTATAATAGACATAGAAAAGGCGTCCGTCCGTCAAAATTAACGAAAAAAAAAAAACTAAAACTACAAAAAGAATAAAAAAAAAAAATTGACGTCGGGTTTTAAACTTAAGCGGGAAAATATAAAAAGCTAAAAATCTTTAATAAAAACTAAACTAAACTGAACTAAAAAAACTAAAAAAACCTAAAAAACTAAAAAGCTGAAAAAAAAAACCTTGAGAAGAAAAACCGGAAAATCGATTAACCTTTTTCTCAAGGCATTATTTGTTTGAAAATGAAACCTTTTTCGTTTGTTTTTCAAATTAAAATAACTTATCTCGAAATTTTCTTTATATTAAATAATAATAATAATAATAATATTTAAAAAAGCTCAGAAGGTTTCGGAGAGTGGAGAGGGAAAGGGGGAGGGAGAGAGGGGAAAAAGGAAAAGGTAAGAGAAAATTTTTTTTTTTCCCCATTCGAAATTTAATTAATTATTAAATTTTTACTTAATTAAATAAATTTCATCTTTATTTTTATTTAATACATTAAAATTCTATATTCTGATGTACTTTATGTATTATTATTATTATTATTTATTAACAATTAATTAATTTAAAATTTAAAAAAATTTGATAACTTACCTACTACTTTAAGATTAATAAAAATACTCGTCGGAGGATGAGATGAAACTTGACATTCGTATAAGCCAGCATCTCTCATTTGTACAAATTTTATTTGTAGTGTCCAATCCTGATAAAAGAAAAAAAATGTTATTACTTATCAACGTTAACGTTATCAGTAATTTAATTTTCAAAAATGACGCGCGCGTAAAGTCGCCATTTTGACATCGAGTTAATGAATATTAAAATATTAAAACAATTTCGTCGAATTCATACAACAAAAAAATCATTATTATTACACGTTAATTAAGGTACTGGATTTAATTAGGTAAACGAAACGCTGGGTAAATAATGCGTGAATACATACGCATTCGGAAATAATATCAAAAAAAAAAAATGAATGACGTCATAAAAAAAAAAAATTGAAAACATCGTTTCGACGAATGAAACGAATCAATTATTTTTTTTTTTAAAATTATAATTAAAATCAATAAATTTTTCATTGGATTTTTGAATTAAAGTCGTAATAAATAATAATTAATAATAATAATAATAATAATAATAATAATAATAATAATAATAATAATTTTTCCAGTTAGGTTAATTATCCAGGAGCAGCCGATGATGATGATGGTGTTTAATTTTCTTTTATTTTTTTTTCCACGTAAAAAAAATTTTAAGTAAAATTTATGCGTTTTTTCTTTTTTATTCATTATATATTATTATTATTATTAAACACCTTATTTTTTTAGATTAATAAAAAAAAATTTTTCGACCGTATTTTGCAAAAATTTTTAATCAACGAATTTGAACCGTGACGTCACGAAAAATAAAAACAAAAAAAAGGCGGGAAAATTTAAGGAGAGCGAATCAAAAAAAAAACTTTTTACCATTACGACGACAACAAGGGTTGTAAATTTTTTTTTTTTTTTTACGTTAAAGTAATAACAATAATAATAATAACTATGATGATGATGATAATGATGATGATAATTATTAATGATTTATAAAAAAATTTCAATTAACGTTACAACACGGTTACAACATTAAAAAATTTAAAAAAAAAATAAATGAGATGCGTCGGAAAACAAATCAAATCATCGTCAAATTATTATTATTATCATTATTATTATTATCATTATTATTATTATCATTATTATTGTTTTTAATAATAAAATTCAGCCTACAGAAATTGATTACTCGTGTTATATTAAAATAAAAAATAAAATTTACGCAATCGTTTAAATTTCAAAAAAATACTTCTCGCTTTAATTCGTTATTATTATTATTATTATTCTCATCGTTTTCTATCGTTGAAAGGGAATCTAGAAAGTTTAGATTAACTCTAATGCCCCGACAATTTTAACGAAATAATAATAATAATAATAATAATAGTAATCTATTTAATTCTTTGTTGTTTTTGACACGACACAATCGTGGTGGATATTATCGATAAAATAAATTTTTTTTAAAAAAAATAAAATTAAAAAATTACGAGCGTAAAAAAAAAAAATCGTTAAATCTCGGGGCGATTTTCATTTAGTTAATTAACTTTTAAATTTTCCCACGTTCGGAAAACAATCGACCGAATTAAAAAAAAAATTGTTTGTTTGTTCGTTTGTACGATGATATTAAATATATATATTACCGTCGTTTGTGTTTTTGTATACAACAAAAAGGATTCGTCGCGGTCTTTACAAAAGTTACGAACAATACTTTGATGATGATGACGTTTCACCCGTGACGTCACGTGAATTCATTCACGAATAAATCACGTCAATATTTATTTATTTATTCGTTATTATTATTATTATTCTCTATTATAATTATTTATACGATCGATCTCGTAATTTATTAATTAAAAAAAAAACGCGCGTTAAAAAAAATTTCGTAATAAACGTGATGAAAAAATGCCTTTTTTTTAAATGAATTAATAATAATAATAATAGTTCGCGATAGAAAAAACAAAGTTGCGACACGAGGGTTAACGCAATACGAATGTGAAAAAAAAAAAAAAATAATAAAATTTTTACGCGGCGTAATAAATATTTATCTGATTCATTGTTGACGTTGCGATTTTAAACGGTAGGAAAATAAAAAATAAAAAAAAATGGCGACGGAGGAAATTTATTCGAACCGGAATGAATAAAAAAAAAAAAAATTTTTTTTTACGATTTCTGAATTCAGGATTAAATTAACGAAATCGAATGTTTGATGATAGCAAAAAACGCACGCGCACACACGCACAAACGCACGCGCACACACGCGCACACACGCACAAACACACGCATTTGCTACAAAAAAAAAAAAAGTAGGTCGGAAAAAAAAAATTTGTGTCGCGGATATGTCAATCAAATTTCATGACGTATAATTAATTACCTGAAATATAAAATTGTCTGTCTAATCAACAAAAATACTCATAAAAAAAAAGGTTTTTTAAGCTGGGGGCGGGGACGAGATGGAGGCAGAGGCGGGGGTAGGATAATATCATTTAATTAATGTTTTTTGCTTTAAATATGAGAAAAAAAAAATTTACGAGGGGCGAGGGGGAGAAGAGAGAGAGGAAGAGGTGAAAAAAGTCACGTGTGAGAGATCCCTGATCCTTCCGGTTTTTATATTTACGATTGCATTATATAACCGCAAATGTTAAAATAAATTTTTTCTGTCTCTCTCTTTCTCTCTCTCTCTCTTTTTTTCCTGGAGCGAAATTTCTCTTCCTTTTTTATTTTTTTTTTATTTTTTTCCTCTTGCATAGAAAAAAGAAAGAAAGAAAGAAAAAAAAAATTTTTTTTTTTCTTTTTTTTTCTTTTCCATTCGACTTCACAAAATTCTTTTCATTCTCTCTCTCTCTCTCACTTTTTTTTTCTTTCTATTCACTCGGTTTGTTTTATTCTTCGACTCTTTTTTTTTCTTCCTTTTTTTTTTTTTTTTTTTATACTCTCTATGTGCGTTCTAGCCTAAATGTAATGGATTTTTTTTCAGGTTGCGGTTTAATTACATCAAACTTTAGTTTAACCTTTTGTTTTCTTGCCAAATGCGGTTTTCATTTGTTTCCTGTCATTTTTTCCTTTTTTTTATTTATTGTTTTTCTTTTTTTGTTTGTTCGTTTGTTTGTTTGTCCTAGCTGCATCCCTTTTTTTTTTTTTTTTTTATTAGTCCCTTTAATCATCGTCATTTTTAAATGCCACACACAAAAACGTAATTAATTTATTTAATTTCGATATATTTTATTTTTCTTTCCTCGAAACTTTGGCACAAAGTTTTATTTTTTTATTTTTATTTTTTGTTTATCAAATTAATAAAATTATAAACAAACGTTTGTTGCAAAACAATCGCAAACCTTTTTTTTTCGTTTGTTCGCAAAAAAAAAAAAATAATAAAATAAAATAAAATTTACTTGAATTATTTTTTTTTTTTACAAATAAAAAATTCAATCGTCGTATAGAAAAAATTTAATTTTTTTAATGTGATGACGTGTTGCCAACATTAAACAAAAAAAATTCCCTCTTTTGTGACGTCATCAAAACAAAGGAGAAAAAAAACTTTGTTTATAATTAATAGCGTGCGTAAGACGTATTTTTTTCTTTTTTGTTTATTTTAAATAATTGTCGACCTTATTTATTCATAAGTTAATGTTTAATAATAATAATAATAATAATAATAATAATAATAATAATAATAATAATAATAATAATAATAATAATAATAATAATAATAATAATAATAAAAGCCAACGGCCATAGCGTGCTGGTCACACCGGTTCCCGTACGATCACCGAAGTTAAGCAGCATCGGGCGTGGTGCAAACTTGGATGGGTGACCGTTTGAGAACGCCACGTGCTGTTGGCTTAAAAAGAGCAAAAAAAATGAGAACAAGACAAAGTAAGAACCAAAAACAAAATCTTGTTCTACTGTCGACCTGAGGCAGCTCGACGAGAACGTGAATTTCACTGCTTCTGACCCTGGCCACTCCAAAGATGTTAGTCACCGGAGCCCAGTTCAGGAGACAAATCGTTCCCATCGAAAAAGACGGACTCAGGAAGACCTTCAAGAATTGATGTGGTGCTATCTTATAATAAGTGGCACCACCGAAATTCGAGTATTTGTCCCTAAGGAATCGGGTAGAAACCTCGGATAAATACTTAAAAACTCCGACAAGTAGCCTTGTCGTGTTTAATGGTGGATAATAATAATAATAATAATAATAATAATAATAATAATAATACATTTTCGGTGATGTAAATTTTAATAAAAATAAAAAAAAATTTTCCCAGTATTATTAAATTCTTTTCCTTTTAGTAATTGTGAAAACAATAAAAAAAATTTTTTTTTTTTATGGTTTTAAAAAAAACTATCAGAAACAACCGGATGACATTTAGTTTGTTTTTTTCAAGGGAAAAGAAAATTTCCTTTTTTTCTTTTTAGAGAGAGAGAGAGAGAGAAAAAAGAAGAAAAAGAAAAAAAATTTTAAAAAAACAACATGCCTTTAACAACGATGATGTGTACAATCGATACGATCGATCGAAAAAGGTAATTTTTTACAATCGAATTATTAATTACTCAATCACAATCAAATTTTTTTTTTTTTTTTTGGTTAAAGTCACAGATCCCTTCCCCCCTATCCACACACCCTTTGGTAGGAAGAGAAAGGGAAGGTTCTAAATTCGTGTAATGAATCCTACGTATATGCCAACCTTTATTTAAAATTTTAAAAGCTTTACGATAATGAGTTGGATTTAATTTTTTTTACTTTTTTTTTTTTTTAATTCCCAAACGTCGGTTTGAAAAATTTTTTTTTTGTTTATTTAAATCCGGTAAAAAAAAAAAAATAAATAAAATGTAAAATCCCATCGATTACGTATCGTTTTTTTTTGCGGGGGGAAAGAAGAGGGAAGGGGGATCGGGAATCACGATAAAAATGTTGGAAGGTTAAACGTGGTATAAAGAGGATGAAGAAAAAACCACAAGGAAGACATGTTCAAACTAAAAAAAAAACCGCAAAAACCAAAAATTAGTTACAGGAAATCCCTCTGTCTCTCTCTCTGTTCCTCTTCCCTCTCTATCTCTATCTCTTTCTACAAACATTAACAAAAAATTTATTATTTCGTATTAAAAAAGGAGTAATAAAAATAATAATAATAATAATAATTTTATTTTGCACGTGCTTAAAAAAAGAAAAAAAATTTTTTTTTTTAACGTAACAAATGCATGATTTTTTTTTTTGTTAAAGGTAATAAAATAAAGTAATAAAAACCAAATCAGGTAAAAGAAAAATTATTATTATTATTATTATTATTATTTTCGCATAGAAAAATATAACGAAAAATTCCGATTTATGAACAGCAAAAAAAAAAGTTTGAGAGGGAATCGTTTGAAAAAAAAAAAAAAAACAAAAAATCGTTACGAAAAATATTATCATTATCATTATCATTATCATCATCATTATTATTATTTTTTCAATAAAAGAAAAAAAAAAAGTTACGTACGTGTTGTGACGTAATATTTTTTATTGTTATCGTACATAATAACGATAATAATAACAATGGTAGTAAAATAATAACAGAAAACAATATTATTATTAATTTTCGAAACGACGTCAAATTTTTCTTATTCATTTTTTTTTTTTAACCGAACAAGTGAGAACGTTTTGCAATAATAATAATAATAATAATTATTATCATTATTATTATTATTAATAATAAATAAATAAATAAATAAATTTGCTGTTACCGGAGAATAAAAATTTTGAAAAGAAAAAAAGAAGTCAATATGTATTTTCAATTTCTTTTTGACTGGGAGACGAAATTTTCTTTTTTTTCTCCCCCTTCCCCTTCATCCGTCTTCCCCTCCTCCCTTTTTCCCCAAAAGGAAAAAAAAGTGAAAATTCAATTTTTTATTTGTTTTGAAATTTTTATTTTTTTTTTTTTTACGATTGATAAAATAAAATGAAATGATAAAATAAAACATTGAATAATAACTCAATCATTTTTTTATTCGCGTGAAATAATGCAAAAAAAAAAAAAAAACCGCCGCACATAATAATAATAATAATAATAATAATAATAATAATAATAATAAAATTCGTTCTGGAAGTTTCGTCGTAACGGTAATTTAATAATAATAATAATAAATAAATAAATAAAAAATTAAAAAGAAAGAACGCGAAAAAAGAAATAAAATTTTTTTTTCTTGCTCGATTTTTGTTTTTGTTTTTTTTCGAGGGGAGGGGGAGGGGATGTGGGGTGTGGAAGAGAAATGGAGGAATGAAGGGAGGGAGGGAGGGTTTGAAAAAAAAATATTTCAAAAGTTTCAAAAGTCGTTGTCGTCGTATTATCATTAACTTCGTTAAGTATTTATCCTTTTGACTATAACGAAACTTAAAATCTAATAATAACAAACTACAAACAAACAACGACGGTTAAACAAACAACGAAACAAACAACAACAACAACGAAAAAATTTTTTTTAAATACGCGAAAGTATTAAAAGAAATTTTACATTTAAACGTGCGTAATTAACATAATAATAATTATCTCCCCTCTTACTGCAGAATAATATAGAAGTTTTGTTTTTTTTTTTTTTTTTTTTTAAATCCGATTTATCGAAAGATATCGAACGATAATCCGATAAAAAAAAATTTTTTTATCATATTCGTAGAAAAAAAAAATTTTTTTCGGTTGTTTACCCACCGCCATTCTTTTTTTTTTCCCCCCTCTCGTTAATTTTAAATTCATAGTTCGAAAGGAAACGATTTCGTTCGATAAATCGAAAATAAAATAAATCGATTTTATAAACGATATGACACAATAATATATATAAAAAAATGATTTTCGAAATGTGAATCCGCGCGAAATATTAAAAAAAAAATAAAATAAATGATTTGTATAAAAAAAAAACAAAAATGGAATGAAAAAAGGAAAATCATAGAGTAAATTTAACATAAAGGATTTTAACATTTTCATAGAGTAAAAAAAAAAAAAAAAAAGAAAAAAATTTACCTCCGAATGTTGAGAATGAATTGCTTGATATCTTTCGTCTCCAGAATACGTTGTCAGTCCGACGGTCAACAAATGATAATCTTTACGTTTTATCCAGGAAACCTGAAAGTAAAAAAAAAATTCCTTTGACGTAATTAATTAATTCAAAGGAAAAATTTATTATTTTTATTACTCTCTATGATTTTTTTTTGTAAAAGTGTGAAATCTATCAAAAGATATATGAAAGAAAGTAAAAAAAAAAAAATTATTATTTATTTTTTTTTTACCTTCCGGCCATTTTCACAAAAGAAAATTATTCTATTTCCGTTTTTGTTAAAGTTTATTTCCGGTTTGTAACTTTTTTGAAATAAAACAAACAGTTAATTGATTTTAACGTAAAAAAAAATTTTTTTCGTGAATTATAATAACATGGTATAAACATGTCAAATCAAAATTTTCCAGTCAAATCAAAAAAAAAAAAAAAAAACATTCCAGGGAAAACATTTTAAGCTTATTATTTTTACCACTCGATAAAATCCCGATTAATTTTATTTTCCCTTCTCTTTTCCTTCTTCTCCATCTTCTTATTTTTCCAGAAAGAAAAAAAAAGAAAAAAAAAATTTAAAATTCCAGATTGAAAAAATCGTCGTCTCGAGTTTTTTTTTTTTTTTATTGTAAAATCACGACGTTACTCCAATGAAACAAAACCCTTTGAAATTTATTTTATTAAAAACTTTTTTTTTTCCTTTTTCTTTTTCCTTTTTTTAATAAAATTTTCAATTAATGTAAAAAATTTTCCTTTAAAAAAAAAAAACCGTTATAAATTTCGTTATTTTCCCTTATTCTCACCTCATTTTCTATCACGTTTTCTTTTCTTTTTCTTATTCTTTTTCTTTTTTTTCTTCTACTTTTAAATATCGAAAAAATAATGTTTAGATTTCAATTTATGTATATAATTTATTAAAAAAATATTTATGTATTTATTATTAATATATATTTTTATAAATAAACAACGAAAAACGTGATTTCTAAATGTAAAAAAGATACCGAAAAAAATCCATAAATTATATTAAAAAATGTTCTTTTAATCTTTCCTAATGTATTTTTCTTTTTTTTTTCTTATGAATTAAATTTCTATGATTTATTTTTAATTTTTTTTTTTTTACTCTCTCCCATCTTCCTCCCCCCCTTCTCTCTTACCCCCGACTCACCCTCTTCTTCCTCTTCCTCGTCCCTCACCCCCTCTCCCGAAAAAAAAGACTTTTAAAATATTAAAAAAAAAAAAAATGTATACACGTATAAATTTTCCTATACTTATATACAGATATTAATCTTTTTACACGCGCGTACATATTCACAAACGAGTTCGAGTGCGTTTATTATCATTATTATTATCATTATTATTATCAAACATTTTTATTAAATTAAAATGCAAAATTAAATTGGGATTAAAACGCATTTTTCCTTTTTATTACGTAAAATTTTTTAATATAAAAGCGAAAATAATAAATAATAATAATAATAATATTTCACGTATGATGAGAAAATAAATGATTTGATGCTTTTATATTTGACGTCATTTTAATAACTCAAAAGTTAATTAAAAAAAAAAAAAAGAAGGAGAGGGGGAAAAAAATTCAAAAGAAATTCTTTATTAAATTTACATTTTCGCGCGTCGTTGATAATACTGATGATAATCATAATAATAATGATAATAACGAACGTTTTGAATAATTTAAACGGGGAGCGACGGTAGGTAGGTAGGTAAGTAAATAAGCTAATAATTAAATTGTTCGAAAATATAATATCGAAATTTTTTTTTTTTTTCAAAAATTCTTTAATAATTTATTAATTTCATTATCATTATTAAATTTTAGGAGAATGAACGGTTTATTTAATAATACAAAATATTTAGTTTGTTTAACTTCCGGTGTATATTTTTTTCATTGAAAATTTTCCCGCGCTTTTTAATTTTCGAAAAAAAAAAAAATTTTTAAATCAATTTTTTTTATTTTTTACATTCGAGTTTATTTAAATAAAATATCGATGGATCGATCGATCGATCTATCATTAAATCGATACACGTGTGCGGGGAAAAATTTAATTCCACGTAAATAATAATAATAATAATAATAATAAAGGAAAACAATCAATCCGAGTTTGTTAGAAAAAAAAAAAAAAAAGAATCAGTTGATGAAAACGTGGAAAAAAAAATAAAATGACTTCAATATTTATTATTATTATTACTATTATTACTATTAAGGGTAAACGTTAACAAACAAAAATAAAAAATAATAATAAAACAATTAAATACGATTAAAAAAAAGAAAATTTTCTTAACGATAGGAACGTTTAATTAAAGAGTTCTTTGATAAATAAATAAATAAATAAATAAAAAGTTTTTCCGTTCACGGTTCTATAAGTGATAATAAATTTTAGTGTTAATGAACGCAATTTAATTGATAATGAAAGAGTTAATTCTCAATATCGTTTATCTTATCTCCTTATCATTATATTTTAACCGTGCGTGAGTGTGTACGCGCGCGCGCGCGTGCGTATGTTTATTTATATTAAGATGAAAAAAAATAATAATAATAATACGGTACGATTGTTGTAAGTAATACATCAAAAATTTTAAGAGAAGAAACAAATGAACCATCTAACAACATATTCTCAACCCTGGTACAAAAGAAAAAAAATTCGGATGCTGCGTAAAGGATGATGATGGTGGGGAGGAAATAAGGTTCGAGAGGGTTTTTTTTTTTTTTTTTATCAACATTGGCTTTTAGAGATTTGACAAGGGTTTTATTTATTGTAGAACGAATAAGAAGGGAAAAAAAAGAAAAAAGAAAACGATCAGACTATAAAATATCTTTTCCTAAAACTGCAGATTTCAAGTCTTTTAAAATTCTTTCGTATTCTTTTTTTTTTTTTAAGAGGTGGCAGACATTTTGTTTTATTTTTTTTCCTCGTTACATTTGACGTATGTTTAGAAAAAAAACCCCCCATCGGTTTTTTTTTTATTTAAAATTAACTTTATTTGTTTTATAAAACAAAAATGGCGAAATTTTTAACCTCAAATTTTTTTTTTAAATAAAAATTACCGTCGTAAATGATATTTAAAAAAAAAAAAATCTTTTATCGACTAAAAAAAAAAAAAACTTAAAAACTAAATAACTAAAAAAAACTAAACTTTAAAATCAAATAATATTTCACTACTAAAACGAGATAAAAAAAAAAAAAAAGGGAAAAGCGAATTTTTTTTCTTTTTTTTTATATATAAAATGCGAAAAGGTTGCAAAAAGTTTTCTGTATAATGTACGTGAAACTCTTAACATAGATTATAATTAAACTTAGATATAAAAAAAAAAAAAAACTTTTTCATAAGCAAAACTTAGTTTTAAAAAAAAAAAAAAATGGAGGAAGAACTAATAAAATTCACGCGAAAGAATTTTTAGTTATACAACCTACAACAACGACTAGACTTTAAAAAAAAAAAAAAGGACGCCATTTTTTTTTATATATATATAAATAAAAGTATTTAATATATATTTTTTTTTCAGGTAAATTTTCTTTTAAATGTCCGGAAGACATTTTTTTTTTTTTTTCTATGCAGAATAATAATAATAATAATTTTTCATTGGTTCAGACCCGGAGTCTGACGTTTGACGTTTCTTTCACACGTTAACGCCCATATAATTTATTTATATCATATCCTTTATTAATAAATTAAATTATTAAAAAATTTGTCATCATCGTAAGTTAAACGTGAGCCCCACACATTAAATTCCGTTATTTATCGATAACGAATTTTCCTATATGAAATTTCATTTCGTTTTTTCTTTTGTTTGTTTATTTGTTTGTTACACTCGTCGGTCGATTGTTTGTTTTATATTAACAACAAAAAAAATACGATCGAAGATTCAAATTATTTAAATGATAATAATAATAATAAATGCATCGAATAAGGTGTTAGGTAGGTTAAAAGGATTAGAAAACCATTCTTTTTTAATCCTCATTGTAACAAAGAAACAAATTCTCTTATCATCATTATCACGCCGAAAAAAGGTTCGTTTTAAACAAACCTTTTAATCATTCCCTTAATTATTAATTAATAATTTTATGGAAAAGGAAATGCAACTACAAACTACATCCCGTTTTTCTAACGCTATTACGTTTTACATCGCATTATTATAATCATTACTATTTTTGTATTAAAGTGTGATAATAATAATATGGCGGATTTTAATTTTTCCAAAAAAAAAAACCTTTTTCTAAAATAAAATTTCGAGCGTGAAATTTATTATTTATTTATTTATTTATTTATAATTAAAATTAACCTTTTTCACGTGTGTGCGTGGGTGCGCACGTGGAAAATTCGATTATTTATTATTAATATTTTTCCGATTTTATAAAATAATTAATATTAGAAAAACAATTTTTTTTTTTCTTAAATTTCTCTTTCTGGAATGTTCGATAATGACGTCATTTTTAAAAGTTTTATATATACATGAAATCTCATTGAACTTGATAATTATAACAAAAGGATTAAACAAAAGGTAAAATTTGATTTGTTTTTAATCATTTACGTTTCATTAAACAATTTTCATAATTTTATATTATTATTAATATAAATATTAATTATATATAAAATATAAATAATCAAATTAGTGTTCGCGAAAGGAGTAGAAGGGGAGGGAGGGAGGGAGGGGCAGAAAAGGAATTATCACTGACAAAATATCTTTTTTTTTCGGTTTCCCATTCGTGTTTGTTTTGTTTATACACGCGCACGTTTGTTTTGTTTTTTTTTTTTCTTTATGAATGAATGAATTTTAATTAACAATTAAATCAAAACATTTTATTTTTTTCGCGCGCGCGAGAAAATTCATTAAAAAAAAGTGGGGGCGGGGGGAGGGGGGAAAGGAAAACTCAAAAAAAAAAGAGGAGGTTTTTTAACAGGAAAAAGACAGATTTAAAGGATTATTTTCTTAAATTTTTTTTTATCTTTTAAAAGAATTTTGTTCAACTATCTACGTACTATTTGGCGCTGCCAAAATAACAAAAAAAAAAAAAACGGATTTTTAAATCCGAAAGAATCGCTTTTAGATTATAATCTCGAGTAGTAATAAAAAAAGTTTTAAATTTAGTTGGCGTCTTAAATTGGATTAAACCAAAAGGTTTCAAATAATTTTTCATAAATAAATAAATATAAATAATATTTTTTTTTTATTTATATATTTGATTTTGTAATTTAATAAATTCACATTTTCCATAATGGATTTTATGGTTTATTATTATAGGGCAAATCATTTCGACCCCTTAGAGTCATATTGACTAGACGACTAGTTTAATGATATTCTCCCGATCACGAACTCACATTTATTAACTTTTTTTTTTCCTTTTTTAAACATTTACCGAGTTAAAGTTTATAAAAAACATTTTTCAATTTTTGTATTTTGAATTTTGTTAACCTTTGTTCCTTTTTTTTTGTTTTTTTTTTTTTCGTTATAAGAGGATCCCGATGAACCGACATTTTTTTTTTTTAGTTTTTCGCACAAACGAGTGAATATTTGGGTCGTTTAAAAAAAAAAAAAAAACGAATTTTCTTTTTTTTCTTTCTTTCTCTTTTTCTTTTAAGAAATTTTGCTGACCCGAACCACCACCATTAAAACAAATTTTCCAAGTTTTTGTTTTTGACGTAATTGACCGAAGGAAGGAAGGGGGGGGTAAAAAAAAAAAATTTTTATCAAATGATGATCGGGAAACCAACAAAAAAATTTTTTTTAATTAAAATTTTTTTTTTTTTGGGTTAAACCTAACGAAGTTATTTATTTTGTTTTGACGTGACGTAATTATTAATTTATTTATATATAGTAATTCAATAAAAAAAAAACGATCGTTGATGATATTAATAATAATAATAATAATAATAATTAAACGAACAGCAGAAAAAACTTTATTGGGAGGTTTAGAGATAAGTGAAACGTTTTTAAATTAACGAATATATTTTTTATTGTATACGTTCTATTCTTCTTCGTGCTGACGTAAATTTTGTGACGTAATAATTGCATTCCGGATTTCTTTTTTTATTAACTTAATTCATTTTCCTTTTCCTTTTCAAGAAAAAAAAAATTTAAATAAAAAAAACCGTCACGTCACGTGAATTTGAGAAAACAACAACAACGATAACGACGACGATGAAAAAATACACGCGGGAAAAAATTTAAATCGAATCGATTTTAAAATAAGAGTTTTGTTCGTAATACATTAAATAATAATAATAATAATAATGATTATTATTATTATTATTATTTTGGATTAAATTTAACCGACATTAAAAATTCAAACCAAAACGAAACTGCGAAAAACGTCAAGGACGTTTCATTCAATAATTACATACGTCAAAATAAAATTTAATTTTTTTTTATTAAAAAAAAAAACACCTGAGTTTTCTTCTGCTACTTCTGCTACCACTTCGATTCAATAACAAAACGAAAAGTCATATTTTTTATCCCTAATCACGTTTTAAACAAAACGATGATGATAATAATAACGAAAACGAAAATATAAATTCCGCTGGATGGGAAAATCCGGGAGGGAAAAAAAATTTCGCGTGAAATTTCCTTTCGTGTAATCAAATTAATTAAATTAAATTTATCCCTAATCGAATCTTGATAATAATAATGATAATAATTTTTTAAGCACGCTCAAAAAATAATAATGATAATGATAATAATAAAAAACTAACCTGAGTTAACGAAATGTGCCGCAGAGACATCGCAGCGGTTGCATCGGCGACGGATGCAGTAAATGTGTAATTTTCGAGTCTTCCATTTTGTTTTTCCCATTTTTTTTTTTTTTAATTAAATTTTTTCAATTTTATCATCATCATCATCATCATTATTATTATTAAATGATTTTTTTTTGGGATTATAAAAGAGAAAAAATATTCAAAAACATCTGCCGATTATATATACATATATATATATATTGTTATGAACATTTTTCTATATTGTCTTTAGCAAGCATTATTACAAAAAGGATTATCACTCATATCATGGATAACATAATTTAACCTTTAACCGTCACTCTCACTAACACAATCATTAATAAGATGTAACATTCACAGGACATTAGGGAATCAGAAGAACTTCTCCCGTTGTCTCTTGCTTCCTTTTATATGAGGAACTCATTGTTATTATTATGTTTCTATGAAATGAATAACTATGTTTGTAAACAAACAGAAGAATAAGTTTCTAGAAGCTTCTTTTCTATAATAAACACTTGGTAACCATAGTTCCAATGTTATTATTTATAAATAATATAAAATTATAAACATTTGCTCACGTGATCACAACAATATATATATATAT